AAAAACAGCTGCAGACTTGGATTATTCTGCAAGGACAGGAGTACATTATTTGAGGGTTTGACGATACCAGCACATCTTAATGTGATCACATCAGGGTTTATAAATATGTCTAGGCAGAATGGAGGAAAAGCCATCACTCTCACACCTTAGGGCTATAGAGGTCCCCTGAGGGAGAGCCACTTCTGGCTGTCACCTGAAGCAAAGGTGGAGTTGATTTCCTGGAGGCCATAGCATGAGAACAGTAAACTCTGCTGAGAAATACCCACAAATCAGACCCCCTTCCCTCCTTTCTGAGCCCTGACTCCATCAAAACATTCTGTCTATCTTGGTGGGCCCTCTTAAATATTTTATTTCAATCGCCCTGGAAACATTAAAAAAAAAAAAAAGCCGTGCAACAGAAGAGCCAGGCTTATTCACGACTGTGGGGTCATCAGCTCTCCCTGGCTGCTGGGGCAGCAGTGCACGGCCCCAGTCCCTTCATCACACACCTGCCACATTCCATGTGAACATGTCAAACCCTCAAGCCTGCTCGATTAATCACCGTGCCTGAGGATTTATGAAACAAAGTTCACATTACCCAGAGAGCTGCGCGCAGGGCCCTCTGAGGTCAGGATGCAAGACCAAATAAAATTAACGTGCCTGCCACATCCATCATCTTATAATCTGCTTCCAGTTCTATAATCCCCGAGCGTCCGGACTGTGCATACCAAGAACATTCCTCTTCTACGAGGATCAACATGGTTCATGTACAAAGGGCTCTGAACATCTTCCCCACTCCCAAGAAAATCATTAACCATTTCTGCAAGTCAAAGAGCCCCGGGAGTGCAGACATCTGCTCAAAGCAAGTGGCTAGGGACCTAGACGTTTTCACGATTCCATCATGAACGTTTCTTCACACACCATAAACATAAAATTTGATTTGACCTAAGAATGAGGAATACACTGTTAATTTTCCAGCAATGCATTAACTGGTTGAAATCGTATAAAGGAAAAAAGATACTACAACTATCATTGTACTAAACTGTTTCACAATTATTCAAGGCAACAAAATGTTACCCCACCCAGAAAAATGAATCGGTAGGATTAGACGAATTTAAAATTATACAGTAGTATGTATTTCACGTTACCATGGGATTTTCATTTTGATTTCTGAACATGTTATAAGTACCTCAAGGGAAGTATTACTACTCATCTCATCAGGAGAGAAGGCAATTCAGAGATATTGTGTGAGGGCCTTGAGGCCACACGGCTCAGGACTGGGCTGGGCTGAGAGAAATCCACATCACACTCCTCTTTTCCTCTCACAGTTGATGCTGTTTTCAATATTTTACACCATAAACCTCTAATTCTCTAAAATATATTGCCATAAAGTTTTCACCACATGATTATTTTATGTTATAAGTATTCTAATTCTCTCAAGTACTTTGCCACAAAGATTCACATCATAGATCATGTGAATATTATTACTGGATCTGTTCATTTCCAAGCAACATTCCTAGACTCTTGATGGAATAAGAAGTTGGACAACCAGGGTATTTTATGTTCTGATCATTTACAGCCCTAACATCTGGGGAGAAAAGTTTTTAGTTATAAAGTGGAGAAACATATCTGATTTCAGAGTAAGGATTAAAAAGCATATTAACTGTGTCCTCACCTTTTAAAAATTCAGATACCGGCCAGATACAGTGCCTCGCACCTATAATCTCAGAACTTTGGGAGGCTGAGGTCAGAGGATAGTTTGAGCTCAGGAGTTCGAGACCAACCTGAGCAACACAGCGAGATCCCCGTCTCTACATAAAATTCAAAAAAAATTAGCTGGGTGTGGTGGTGAGCACCTCAGTCCCAGCTACTTGGGAGGCTGAGGCAGAAGGATTGCTTAAGCCCAGGAGTTTGATGTTGCAGTGAGCTATGATGATGCCACTGCACTCTACCTGGAGTGACAGAGTGAGATTTTTGTCTCAAAAAAAAAAAAAAAAAATCAGATATTAGGCTTAGTTCTATGGCTTAATAGTGTCCACACTGATTATTCAAGATTGAAACCAAAATATACATTAATCTTCGCAATATTAGAAGTGGCTCTTGCATAAAAACAAGAAAAAAAATTACTGTGGTCTGCAGGCCAGCAGGATTTTGCTATAGACTGACTGTATCTCCCCCAAATTCATATGTTGAAGTCAAATCTCCACGTGATGGTATTAGAAGAGGCCTTTGGGAGGGGATTAGGCCATGAGGGGTAGAGTCCTGAATGGGATTAGTGCTCTTATAAAAGAGGCTCCCGAGAGCATCCTTGTCCCTTCCTTCTGCCACACGAGGTTGCAAAGAAAAGACAGCCGTCTATGAATCAGGAAGTGGGCCCTCACCAGACACTGAATCTGCTGGTATCTTGATCATGAACTTCCCAGTCTCCAGATCTATGAGAAATATGTTTCTGTTGTTTATAAGCCACCCAGTTTACGGTATTTTCTTATAGCAGCCCAAGCAGACTAAGACAGATTTGAAGTGGTAAGACTTTGATTCCTCAAACAATAGCTAAATGGGTACTATGTGCCACAAAAGAATTCTGCATATATTATTTCATTTAATTCATTTAATTCTTACACAGCCCACTGAGGTTTTTTATCCCCATTACTGATGATGAAGCTGGGAATCAACGAAGTGGAAATAACACCCACAGTTATGTGACAAAGCTGAGTTCTGAAGCCACATGTGCCTTGTTCCAACCATCCCAAAATAGACCACTGATATTCAGAAATCTGAAAAATTCCGGCATGCCTATCCCTCCTAAAAAATTAACCTCCCATGTTCACTCTTATAACATGAACGTATGAAATTATTTCAAAACAAAAAGGACAAAACGTTAACCTATTATTACTCACTGCCTCAAGTAGGAAAAGAGAAACCGGAGCGAACAGGAAATGGGCTTCACTAAGGGGCAGGAGATGATGAAGATGGGCTAGAGTGGAGGCGGGGAGTCAAAAGCCTCCTGCCCCACTGTGATACGTTTGGGGAGAACGCAGAGGGGACAGGACTGTTTGGTAAGGACCCAGAGGTCAATATGAATGGCGTTTTGTTCTTTCATTCAGTAAACAAATCCTGACTCCATATCTCCTCTGTGCCAGCTGCTCGGTTGGGTACTGGCAACACGAGGAGACTAAGGTAAGTGGCCTGCCCTCCAGAACTCAGACTGGACGGGGAGACAGATCCGAACAAACAATACAATATGCTGAGAGCTGCACTGCAGGAATGTAGACATTGCTGTACAAGCACTAGGGACTGACTCCCTGGGAGGATTAGGGGACATGTGCTGGGCCTCAAAGGACAAGGAGGAGTCTTCCTGGCAGTGAACAAAGGACAGGTCATATAGGCAGAGCATATTTGGCCAAAGGCATGGAGGTTGGAGATGAGAGAGATCACGAGGTGTCCTGGAAATGGAAGACAGTTCTCTGTGGCCGCAGCATCGGGCGCATGGTGGCAGCAGCAATAGTGAGGTGGTGTTGGGAGAGGTGGGCAGGGACCAGAATTCCGGGTCTGCCAAGAGGTGCGGCCTGCATTCTGTACGTTGCATGGAGCCAAAGGCTTTTAGCAGGGCAATGACAAGATCTGTGATAAGATCAGTTGGCCTTATGGAAGACAGATTGGAGAAAGCCAGACAGGTGGCAGAGAGGCCAGCTGTTATGAACTCTACTTGGAAGGACTCTTGCAGTTCAAAGGCCCTTTATCTAGTCTAGCTCTCTATTTCACAAGTATAAAGTGAGGTCTGGAAAGTTAAAAGACTTGCACAGAGCTACCCAGCTGGTGAGTGACAGAGCTGGAACCACAATGAAGATGTCCTATTGGCTGCTGCAAGATCATTTCCATCTGCCTAGGCTACCAAAGAAAGCGAAGAGGTCTAAAGCCTGGATTCCCCTGTAGTGCCTTCTAGTTTATGAGCTTGAAGACAACACCACAAAGGTTAGAAAACAACAGTAGGTAAAAGAACAAAGCACTGTTCTTACAATGGTTTTGGACTCCTGCTGCCTTATATATCAGATAACTAGTAAACGTGACACAGCTTATAGAATAAAACAAATAAACACACAGACAAGGGGAGCGAGGGAAAGTACACAGCTGCTTTCTTAATCAACCAAAGTCATCAAATCCTGACCATTCACACACCTTAAAATTTAGAGATTCTTTCCTGAGAGCAGATGGTCACGACTTTAGCTATGTTTTCTAAAAAGAAATCCAGTTGGTGAGAAAATATTTCATCCACAGAACTACTATCCACAGGGTTAGTCCCCAGAGAAGTCCACCCCAAAGTAACCTGGGATGATTATGAAAGCCACATTTAACTGAGATTCTCACCCTAACGCCCTAGTCCTGGAATGTGAGGACAGGGAAGTGAGTCTAATCTGTTTCGCAGAAAACTGAGATCTTCGAGTGAAGCAAAGCCACCTATAGCCTTCTCATAATCTCATTCCAAAGAGGGTGATCTACATAGAGAATTTATTTTCAGGACAGAAACAGATTTTCTGACACCTGCACCTTTCCCAAAGGGCCTTTCTGACTTCATCTGAGCACAAAGGAGAGGTGTGTCAGCGGAGATCTCGGAGCTGCCGTGTCTGCAAAGGTTCCTTTTCACAGTGGGATTCAGACCAAGCCCCTGTTAAAGTGAATAGCAGGCCAAGGAAGAAGGTACCCGTGTTCTTCCAAACTACATTTCACATTGTACATAACATTAAGGCAAAAAAAAAAAAAAAAAAGAACCAGAGCACACCGTGTCTTCAATTGGACACAGATGGGAGGAAATCAGCCACAGTAATAAATTCACGGAGGTGGAGTGTGTCGTCACACACGGAGCCCGGATGTGTGATCCAGAAGGTGTGTGGGGGAGAGTTAATACCATATGTCGTTTGACTGCGGTGGGCCTGCTCCCATGTCAGTGGCAACGTGTTCCTCCAGAACAGCTCTGACGCCATCCCGGATGCCACTGCACTCTGCCGAGCCTAGATGATGCTTACCAGGTACTGAAGTCGCTGGCGCTCTGTCTCGGGGGTGAATTCCGAAGACATAGGGATGATTTCTCCATTTCTGATGATTATGGCCCTGAAATGGGGAAAACGCATTGTCAGCAGCCAATCTTACAAATACTCCGATTCTGTGACAACCATAGCTTGGTTCCCACCACACATGAAATGCCAGAAGATGCTGTCTTCTCTCACCTGCAAGGCAGAGTTCACTACTCCCAACTCCCCCACATGGGAGGCATCTCTGTATTAAGGGCACAGCATTCTAGTTAGCTTCTGTTTACTTTTTCTGCTAGCTGGAACTGTGCCTTGACGCCCCAGCACGACGCACACTACTTGGCACGTAACAAATGCTCAGTGAATAAATGGATGGATGAATGAATGATGTAACAGAAGCTCACTCTAGTCCTGAGTTATCCAATGGAACCTTCTGTGATCATGGCAGTGTTTTCATCTGTGCAGTCCAATAGGGCAGCCACTAGCCACAGGTGGGTACTGAGCATTTAAACTGTGGTCAGTGCAGCTGAGGAACTAAATTTTTAATTTAATTTAATTTTAAAATGTAAAGTTGAAGCCGTCACATGTGGCTAGTATTAATGTATTAGTGCAACTCCGGATCACTGTTACTCGAAGGATCTGTGAGCCCACAGCATTGGACTCACCTGGGAGCTTGTGAGAAATACACAATCTTGGGCTCCAACCCAGACTTACTGTATCAGAATCTCATTGCAAGAAGCTTCCCAGGTGACTCACAAGCACATCAAAATCTGAGTATGTCTGGCCTAGACACTCAAGCTTCTAGGCTAATATCCTGGATCCAACAAAAGCCACTCTCATCTCATCTGAAGGCTGAGGAAATTTACACAACTCCAAAAAAATGTGGTGAAGAGCTATCTCCCACTCAAGGACTTTTGAGAGAACAGAGCTCCCCAAAGCAGAGTGCGAAGGACAGGCTGCAGCATCGATAACCGTGGAGGCAACCTTTCCCGGGCCTATTCCCAGTGGTGCTTCCTGTTCTCAGACCTTCTGATTCCGAAGTGGTTTCTGACAGCCACTTTCCAGCGATCGATCAGCTGCGGCAGAATGTTGCCATTTCTACAACAAATGGAAGTGGCTTGGGGAATTGCATTCTATATGAACCCAACAGCTCCTTGGCACCAGGGAGCCACAGGCCCGACATGCTTCTCAGTGAAGACCCACCGACGTGGGAAATGTCTTCGATGGACTCAGCTCTGGCTGGATGCCTCGTTGATACTAGGGGAGGCTGCATTCTTTGTGCCAAGAGCCCCTGAGCACCCCTCCCTCCAACTGGAGAGGCAGCCCCTGATTGGAAACAATCCCTATAGGTGGCTGCAGCTGTCAAGACCCGACCCCAACCCTTCGCCACCTGTGTCCCAGTTGCTGCTGTCATAGAAACTGACGGGGTGAGGGTGAGGGGTGCTGGCAGGGAAGGAGATGACAACAAAAATACTGGGGGCTTTAGGGAATTTATGGCTCTAGGAGGAAATAAACAGTGGAAGTTATGGGAAAATGGAAAAGTTTAGGGGAGCCAACTTTGAGAAGATGCCTCTTGTTGCAATATTCCTTACCACTTCTTTTATTATACTGCCTAAAATATGACGAATTAAAGAGTTCTTCTTATAAACCCAGAGCTACTTGTAAAATGCAATCACCTCTACCCCTCCACCCCTACCCCAAGGTGACAGCCATCAGTCAAAAATCAATGTGGGCCAGGTGTGGTGGCTCACACCTGTAATCCCAGCGCTTTGGGAGGCTGAGGCAGGAGGATTGCTTGAGGTCAGGAATTCAAGGCTGCAGTGAGCGGTGATTGTGCCACTGCACTCCAGCCTGGAAGACAGAGTGAGACCCTATCTTTACAAACAAGCAGGCAAAAAAACAGTATGAATTAACTCAAATGGTCTATCCTGATTATCAGCAAATATAACTACAAAAAGGGAGCAGGAGTTTTGAGAGGGGAGAGAGAACTTTGGAGAATTTGAGGGGGGGTGTTGTGAAAGTCTAGGTTAGGGCTTAATTGTAAAGTAGCAAGACAGGCCCAGAGAACCTGGGGAGCTGAGGTGAAAGTTAAATAAATTCCAAAGTGATAAATTCCAAAGTTTTGCTTAAAGTTAGTCTTAACTCTTTTTCCTCTCTTCTTCTACATGGCCCCAGAATTCCAGCTGAATTCTTAGGCTGAGACTAGGGGGAGTGAGATATCCCAGAGGGAAGCAGAAGACCACAAGTAAAAGGAAGGAGCAGGTAGGGAGGGTGCAGGGTGGTGTTGCAGGGACCGGGGAGAAGGTGGTCTGAGTGCCACCCCCACGCTGCAGGGGAGCCAGCCGTGCTCACCCAGGCCATGGAAGATTCTCCTCTAGGACCCAAGTGCCAGGAGCTCAGGGGCCTTGTTTTGTTCACTCCTATATTCCAAACTCTTAGCATTGTGCCTGTCACACAGCAGAAGCCCAGTGAATACTTGCTGAATAACAGAACAGCTGAGAGCACTTAGGAGAAGCTGTCTTTTGAATCTGAGGCAGGAAGAGAACAGAACTAAGAGACAGTAGATGACAAGACGACGTTCACTCCACCAAGTAAGGTGGGGTGGACTTCACAGAGCAAAGAGGGGTCTTCACCTAGAAACTCGCTGTTTCTTCAGTTGCCTTTTCCTTTCTCTTCCTGACCAGGGCTGGTCCATCCATCACCTCCACCTTGGGGTCCCCCCAACAGCAGCTATTCCCACACCTGCATTTCTGACCCCTCTCTCTACTGTATCCCTGCCCATAGTGCAAAACCATGCTCAAAACATTGTGTATTTAAAATCAAACAAAAAGAAACCAAAACCAAATAAATAATACTCTCCTAATCCAAAATCCACCTTCAGGGGCTGTCCTCTTTTCTTTCCTACTAAGCCAAGGCTTATAAATTGATAATAATCTACATTCAGGGTCTCTGCTTCCTCACCTCCTGCCAAGCCCTCAAACACTGGTAAATTTACTTCTTGCCCCCCTCCCACCCAGCCTCTGTCACTGGAGTCACCAAATGGTCCCTCTGTTGCTGTGTCCACTGCACATGTCATCATTCTGATCTCCTGGGTGGCATCTGATTATCCCCCAACCCTGGCTTCCAGGATTCTCCTTCTCCTGGTTTCTGTGCTAACTCCCAGGACATTTGCTCTCAGACTTCTCCACCCCTCCCCTTTGGTGTTGTGTACTAGGATTCTGTCTCACCACTCTCTCCTGCTGGGTGATCTCATTTCCTAACACCTCAGCCCCCAGGGTTAGGTTAGATCCCTCTTCTGCGCTAGGTATTACCTTAGCCTGGTCTTCCTCCTGAGCAATGTTGTAACTGATTACTTAATTGTCTGTCTCCCACGCTAGCCTATAAGCTCCTAAGGCAAGAACCATGTCTGTCTTGATCAACACTGTAGCCCTATTACTATACACAGTGCCAAGCTATCTATCGTAGGCAGGACCAGCTACATAATTCCAGGGTCCAGTGCAAAATAAAAAAACACATGTCACCTTGTTTAAAAATGGAGAATTTCAAGATGGCAATAGCAGAACATCACACCAAATGTGGGGCCCTTCTGAGAGTGGGGTCCCGTGGCTGCACAGGTCACGTGCACACAAAGCTGGCAGAGCGCATGCCCTTAATATCTACTGAATGGATAAATAGCTTCAACAACTGCATATACTGATGATTTCAGACAACCTTTCTAGCCCACACCTCTCTGTTTTGCACCCGCCTGGAACAGCTAACTGCCAACAGATACATCCACTTGGATATTCACTGGCATCTCACACTAAGTAAGGTTCAAAATGAATGATCCTGTCCCCACCCTACCCCCAAATCTACCTGTCTTCCAGCATTCCCTATCTCAGGAACGACACTATTTTCTACCCGGTTGCTCATCCCAAAAGCCAGACATTCCAGGTGTCTCATTTTTCTCACCCCACACATCCAGACAGGTACCCAGTCCTATAGATTTTGCCTCCTCAGTAGCACGTGAATCTATCTCCTTCCTTCATTCCTCCCCGTCTGTGCCTTTTCTGGTTTCCACTGGAGCTCGTCTGTATAAGGAGCTCTCCGCTGTCCCCTGCCCCATACTCCACAGGGTCACAAAGGTGATCTTAAGGCACCACTCTCTTCACACCACACTCCCTACCCAAACCCTCCATGGCGTCCCAGCACTTCCCATTTCCTTCATGATCAGGTTCTCGCCTGTACTTCCGGCTCAGCCTCACTTGTGCCATGCCCACTTCTCCCTTCTGACGGCCAGCCTACCTGAGTCAGCTCAGGAGAACGCCCACCTCCCTCGCCCTCCTGGCCTCCCTCCCACACTCCTCCTCTGTGACCCTGGGGTGGCATCTGCTCACACCCCACGGCCCTCTCCAGTCCTCTCTGTGACTGTTGGCTTCCATGGCTGTCTCAAACCACCCCGAGGACATTTTAGGAGCAGAGACTCTGAATCTCTGACACTCAGTGCCTGGCATGTGGCAGACACACAACAACTGTTTGCTGATGGATAAGTGACTAAATGAATGAAGAATGAGCCGGACTTGGGCAAATGAACAGAAGGATCTGGAAGCGAGGGCCTTAAATAAGACTTTTCTTAGTAACAACATTACTAACTGTATATAGTCGGAGCCCTCAAAAATCCATCTGCCTTTTTGTTGGTTTTGCAAAAAGACAGCAAGCCTAAGAGGATGCTGTTCTGGCTGAGCTGCCACTGCAAAGGGACTTGGGAGACAAGGGGATGAGAGGCAGGGCCCTCTCCTTAGCGGACAGCAAAGGCCACCACCACCAAATTCACACACCATCCCAGTATTACTGCTGGGGTAACCTTAGCTTATTGCTTTCTTAAATAGATAATTATATCCAAGTCCACATATGTATAGAACATTCTCCACTCCTGTTTGAATGATCAAGTTCCCCCTTTAAGAGGCATCTACCGGTAAGAGATGACAGCGCTGTCGGGCTGCAGCCTTCCCGATCCCCGCATCACAATGCCTATTCCTCTGCGATCCTTGGCTTCCTTTTGATCTTTCTCTCTTTCATCCCTCTGATCTCGGGATCAATTTG